GGAGGGGGGTGTGGCAGCCCTGCATCATATATGTATGTATGTATGTATGTATGTATGTATGTATGTATGTATGTATGTATATATATATATACATGTGTGTGTGCGAATGTAGGAGAAGTGGGCACTTTGGGTTAGAGTCCATGGTTCTCGGTTTTGAACTACTCGATATTGGCCACACCCCAGATGCGCGTGCAGCTCTTGTAAAACTTCAGCCTTTCTCAGCAAGTCCACAGTGGTTCGTCTGAGTCACCATGTGAGATAACGATGGTTTAGGGTGTAGGGCCCTAAACCCTAAACCCTAAACCCCTAAACCCCTAACGCCCTAAACCCTAAACCCCTAAAACTCTAAAACCCTCAACCCTACGTCCCAAAAAGTGTCACCCAAAGAAGCGCACTCGGAGCCTTGGACCCGACATCGATTCTCAGACGTGTCGAAATATTAACTGCTTCAGATGTCAAGGCTGCACACTGCGACCAGGCTCCCAGCTTTTAGGGTTTTGTGCTTAGCGTTTTAGGGTTTTGGGGCTTTGCGCTTTAGGATTTTAGGGTTTAGGGCTTGGGGTTTAGTGTTAGGGTTTGGGTTTGCATATTGGGAGTAAGGCTTAAAGATTTAGAATCCGCAAATCCCAAAGCCCTCAGCCTCAGTGTAAGCAGGCCCGTGGCGGAGGCTACCGGGTGCTCATGTCTATCCGTAGGGGCCTTAATAATTAGGTTTTGGATGTTCCTTAGTATAATTTGTATACTATAAGATACCCCCGAACCGCATTCTAATTGTTAAGGCTGAAAACTTAAGACCTAATTAGACCTAACACTCTAAGTCTAAAGACCTAGACCCAATATCCTAAACAGGGCTCCGTCCTGCAGCCTACCGCTCTAAGTCTAAAGACCTAGGCTCAATATCCTAAACAGAGCTTCGTCCTGTTGTTTGCCTAGGACTTCCTACTTGAGGTATGTAGGTTTGGGTTTAGGCTTCAGGGTGTGGGAGCGAACAAACTTGAACACATTCCGCAACCCACCCCGGACCTTCACGTTTTACAGCTTCGGGCTCACGGAGTGCATCCTAAGCTCTGCCTACGATTGTTTAAGTCTGTGATGCCAACGTTCCCTTGTACAGGAGGATGGGCTGATTTCACATGTGCCGGAATCAATAGATGACAGAAGAGCCAGTGGTGCAAAGTCGCAAACTCATATTGAGTGGGCTGCGCTCTCCCCGGCTATGCCATGTGCATTTCTGCAGCGTTGACATCTCTGTGCACACTGGCCTACAAGTTGTTTTGAGCGTGGAAGTCGTGAGTCCCAACAGGGAACACCCCGCCCAAAGTGTAGGGGGATGGCTAACATCTCATTCGAGATGAAGCCGGTCTTTGCACATTCGACGCAAACAGGATGCTAGCTACAGCATCAAAAACCGAGGAGGCTCGATCTCTTGGAACGAGCTGCTAAGTATGACTACCGCCAGTTCACACTCTGCGGCTTACATCTGCTGATTGGTTGAGAAAACATCGTGGCGCCTGTCTGCATGACAAGCTTACTGTCAAGCTGGAATAGGTCTTCGCTGCACATTGGACTTTTGACTGTAGAGCTCTGTGGGTTAGCAACATGCCTTGGACCAGAGTTGGTTAATTAAGGCGAGTAAGCTACATCTAAAAGCTTAAACACGTAAAAACAAAAACATGCTCTTCTTTATTAAGAAACCAGAATAAGGAACCCTCATTCTAATGTAGGCATCTTAGGGTTCAGGCAAACTTCAAGATGGCATCGCCCGACTCTAGGATTAATCAGTATTCTTCGGTGTTGAGACAAGATCTACATAAGATCCAGCGTAGTCATGGTATGTTCTTCACATAAGGATGTCAGAGTCTGCAAATGTTAGGAAAGTGCCGTGAGGAATCTCATTACCAAGTATGGCTGTGCCTCTGTCAGGTGAAGGGTTCGGCTTCGGCGCTGCAGGGCCAAGTAGTTTAGGAGCACACGTGCCAAGGCGGATGAACACCCAGCCATGCAGGAGGCGGGCTCAGAAGATCGCCAAAGACTTGGCACGACTGATCGATCTTGCGGCGAACTTTGACCTTCGCGGGCTCAGGGCTTGGAGGACTTAGGGTGTCCCCAGAGGTAGGACTCAGGGTGTCCCCGTAGGTCTAGGGTTTATGGTTTAGGTTTCCTTTCTTTTGTACAACTACATTGGGAAGTAGAGCATTTGCGGGGCTTTTGTATCCAGGGTTGAGCTGGCGAGCCAGGGGCGGTTGTATTTTACCATGTTGCATACATCAAACATATATGGGGGATTGAACCTAAACCCTAAACCCTAAACGCTGAAGTGTTTCTGCGGAAACCCCATCCAACCATTTGGGGAAGACTCGTTGAAGGTGTTGTCTGACCGACGGAGCTCTTCTGCCTGTCGGTATGTGTATATGCATGCATAGATACATACGAATATGTGTGTGTATAAACATGCAAAGATATGCATGCATGTATGAACATGGCTGCACGTAATCATGCAAGTGATGATGATGACGACGATAAGGCAGATGAAGACATACTAATACGATGATGATTGTGAAGATGAAGATGCATATGATGATGATGATGATGATGATGATGATGGTGATGACGACGACGATGATTGTGGTGGTGATGATGAAGGAGATGGCGATGATTATGATGACGATGATGATGATGTGGATGAGGACGATGATGATAATGATGC